TTTTTTTTTTTTTTTTTTTTTTATATAACATGATTTTTTTTATTATTACAGATTTTTTTAAAGTGTGCTGTTTTTGTAATTTTGACTTTGGTTTCTAACATGTCTGCATACAAAAAGAAATTATTTGATGTTATATAAAAAATCAAAAAAAATCCCAAAAAACCAAAAAAAAAACCCAAAAAAAAAATCCCAAAAAACCAAAAAATTCCCAAAAAAAACCCCAAAAAACCAATAATTTCAAAAAAATACAAAAAAAAACAAAAAAAATAAAAATTCCAAAAAAAAACCAAAGTCCTAAAATTTCAATTTCATTGGTTAGGTTCTGTTTTTAGAATTCTCTGGTTGGGTTGGGTTAGGTTAGGTTAGGTTAGGTTAGGTTAGGTTAGGTTCCCCTCATCTCCCCTGCGTGGGGCACGGCCTTGTCGTGGCGCAGGGGCTCACTCAGAGATCCTTGAGGACTCTGGGTGCCAACAGTGCCCGTACGGAGCCTCCCGTTAAATAGGGAAGCTCTGTACCTTTGGGGGATTTATTCCCTGTGGTGAGGAACATCCTTTGGATGAGGCGGTTCCTGTCGTTTGTTCGGGCTACGCCCATCATCGGTCCAGGCGACGGGAGCTGAAAGGATAGAACATCTATAAAGGCGTGACTCTGTGAGTATTTTTGATTGTTTGGTAGAAATTAGGCCGCGGACCATCTGCGAGTGCCCATGTGTTTTGATGGGCGAATTGTCTCCCTCTGTCTGGACGGGCTTATGCCCTTCATCGGTCTGAGCAGGGGGGGGCATGGATTCTCTCGCGTTTGAAACTTTGGAGCGAGAACGAGAGACGGTGCGGAGTCTCCCCGAGAATGTTAACTTTTGTTCGTGCAGGTGTGTCTTTGACGAGTATGTGATGTAGAGGTGTAGAAGTAAGACGGGACTCCGCGGCCGACCGGACGTTTCTGGTGCGGGGCGCGTTGTCCTGGGTCCGCTGGTTCTCGCGGGGGTCGGGGGGTGGGTTCGTCGGGGGGGCCTTATCTGCCCCGCGCGGCAGAGAGCGCTGTTACGAGGCGCGCCCTCGGCGTGCCCTCCTTCCGTTCTTTGGGGGGACTGGCGGGTGCTGGTGAGGTGACGGTGGCCCGGTCTCTCGCGACGGCGTCCCTTCCGAAGCGGGGGTTCGGGCGGCGCGTGTAATTGCTGGTCGCCATGGCGGGGAGGATGCGGAGGGGGCGTCGCCTTCGTTATCCGAGTCGTCCATGGGGCCCCCTGGGTGGCGCCACTCACACCGGTGCCTCTCGTGTCGGAGCGAGGGGACCCCTGAAAACCCCGGGCATTGCATTTCGCCCGGATGAGTAGGGGGCCGGAGTCCAGAGCCCCCGATGATGTCTGCCGGGGGCCCGAGACATAGCCCTCTCCCCGGGGGAACTTGGGGCCTCATCCTTTTTCGGGTGAGGAGGGTATACCCTGGAGGGTCAGCCGGTGTGGGTAGTGGGATTATTCAGATGTCAATTCCTTTATTAAGTAAGAGTGTGGTGGAAAGTGGTGTGTTGGAGGAGGGGAATCAGGGCTCTTTGTTAGCATCTGGTCCTGGCGAGAGGTCTGCGGAACCGGTGGCGGAAGGCGAGGGTTCGTCCTCGTCATTCTTCGTAAAGCCGAGCTCCTCGCGTAAGAGAGGGGGGTCCAGAAGTGGAGGGGGTAGCAGTGTTACCGACGATCGCGACACTATTTTGGAGATATCCTCTGACGAGGACTCTATCTCGGTGTCTGCGGTGGATAGTTTCTACGTGGCGGAAGAAGGTTCGGATGCTTCTCCACCGGAGAAGGCCTTGTATCTGAGAGCGGGATCTCAGGCCTCTTCAGTCTCTCGTAAGAGAGACAAGTCTGGCTCGGTTTCGGGTGACAGCGATAGAACCACTGGCTTCTACGTGGGAAGACGGAGAGAGGTGGAGCGGCTGAATGAGGCTAAGAGTGCTTCTCTTAAGCTCGATAGAGAACGAATTATTCGTTCGTGGAGTCACATAGAACTCTTCAAGAAGTCGAGGATTAATTTGAATGAGATCAAGAGCAAACTCGAAGATATTTCCAGCGAGGAGCTTGTCAGGAGGGGCTCTTCCAATATGGACGAGGTAGTAAGAATCGCGCGCTCCTCGTCTAATTTGAAGGGGACTCTCCAGAAGGGGTTGAAGACCTCTGCTGCGGTGACGTATGGGATCCTGGCTGTGCTCAGGGAAAGAATGTCATTGTCCCAGGATGAATCTCATCTGGAGGAAATCAGAGTCTTAAAGAAGGAGGTATCTTCCTTGAGGGTGCGACTGGAAGACGAAGTAGAAGCTGAACGGAGGAAGGCTCTTCAGGCTGCGGGTGAGGCTGAGGCCTATCGCTCTCAGCTCGAGGCTCTGAAGAGGGAGACAACTGGTAGGGAGTCGGTGAAGAGAAGTCCCTCTAAACGGGTCCCTTCTGCTAAGCTGAGGGCTGCGAGTAGGGTTATCACCTCGGACTCGGAATATATGGAGGTGGAAGAGGAGAATCGGGTGGTTCTTGATTCCCCGGAGAAATGGCCGGTGGCCAAGATTCCTATTGGGGGAGGGGTCAGAATCGTTCATGACGATCCGGAAGTCAACAGAGCCATCTATGAGGAGAGGAAAAGAATCCAGAGGGAGAAGGATAAAAACAAAGGTAGGAAGGAGAAACCATTGGGCTCTTCTCCCGGGCCCTCTGCTCCTGGGTCTTCACTCAGAGGTGATTCCCCGGGAGCTTTAGCAGAGCTGGTTAGGAAGATAGTCTCCGAGGAGGTGGGTAGAGCTCTGGGTAAACCGCCTGGAAGAGAGAAAGAGAAGCCTCGCATCAAGAGTGTGGAGATCATCGAGCCCGCCGGTGGGGAGAGGTCGTCTTCTTTTAGGGGCGCCCCTGGCGGAGAGGGGAAGTCCCCTCTCTCTCTTCCCAGTACGCCTGGGAAGGCGAAACTGAGGGAGGACGGCCATTGGTCTTTGGTGGCGAAGAGGAAGCCTAAAAGAGGGACAGCGTCGACGCCATCTACTCCTAAACAGGGAGCCAAGTCTTCAGAGAAGGAGACTACAGTGATTTCAAGGAGGAGGGCTCCTCGTAGCGCGGTCGTTCAGATCAGCTGCAGAGGGGAGGTGAGCTACGCGGAAGCGATGAAATTTGCGAAGCAAAACATCAAAGTGGAGGAATTCGGAATCGATGATCTACGTCCAAGGAAGGCCCGTACTGGGGCCCTTCTGTTGGAGATCCCAGGTGTGGAAGGTAGCAAGAAGGCAGACGCGCTGGCTAATAAGATGAGACAGATATTCTCAGGTCAGGAGAATATTCTCGTTTCGCGTCCTGAAAAGATGGCTGAAGTGAGGATCAGGGACTTGGAGGAATCCGTGTCCGTGGAGGAAATCGTGAGTGAGTTATGCTCGCTGACCAAGTGTAACCCATCTAGCATAAAGGTTGGTGAAATATCGTTTGCCCCGAATGGCATGGCTGTCACCCTGGTGAGGTGTCCGTTGGTGGTGGCTAACTCTCTCATCAGAGATAGGAGGATTAAAATTGGTTGGGCCAGGTGTAGGATAGAGTTGCTTCCCGAGAGGCCTCTTCACTGCTACCGTTGTTTGGAGATTGGCCATGTTCGGTCTCAATGCAGGAGTGAAAAAGACCGCAGTGAAACCTGCTACAGATGTGGTGAATCGGGTCATCCTGCGAAAGGCTGCCTACAAGAAGTGCGGTGTGTTATTTGCGCGGATAGAGGCCTAAAGGCCAATCACCGCATGGGTGGTCCCGCCTGTAAACCGGACATTAGGAGAGGTAAAGTATCTACGGGGCTTCCCTCCTCTGGGAGGCCGGTGGCGGTGTCCATGGACATAGATGGACCGATGACTTCTCGCGGTGCGGGTAAGCCGGTGGAGGTTCCAACCATGAAGGATCCATCGTCATCTCGTCCTGTAGAAATGGACATTGACGAGTCTCGGGAGGCTGCCGGGGATTCGCGGACGGGTTCCCAGGACGCTCAGGCCTCCACGGTGGCGGACTGGCCTGTCTCTGGTACCGACTGGGAACATGGCGGGAGGGAGGCCGCTCAGGCCCAGTCTAAGGTGGAACAAGTTGGAGGGACTTTGACCGAACAGGATGACAAATAGGCTCCTACAGATCAATGTCAATCACTCGAGGGATGGCCACGACCTTATGCTTCAGAGGATGCATGAGGGGGACTTTGCGTTGGCAATAGTGTCGGAGCCGTACGTTGTGGCATCTGGCAATCCGCTGTGGTGCGTGAATGACGAACACTCGGTCGCGATCGGGTGGAGGAGGTCTTCGGACTCAGTCCCTTGCACACCGAAGGGAAGGGGTCCTCATCACGTCGTGGTTAAATGGGGGGATTCTTTCGTAATCGGAGTATATATCTCGCCGAGTATCAATGTCTCGGATTTCGAGCGGGCTTTGGATGAACTGGAGCGTGTTGTTCGTCGTTTCGATGGATCTCCGGTTTTTCTCCTCGGAGACTTTAACGCAAAGGAGGAGTTGTGGCAGTCTGCGGTAACCGATGTTCGCGGCGCGATATTAGTCGAGTGGCTGAGCGCATTGGGACTTGTTTGTTTGAATCGTGGTGGCGTTTCCACGTGTGTTAGACTTCGCAATGGTGTAATCTACGGCGAGTCTATTGTTGACGTGTCGTTTGCGAGTCCCTTGGCCGAGAGGAGAGTTCGCGAATGGAGGGTATCTCTGATGGAATCCGGATCGGATCATCGGTATATCGAGATCACTGTTGGTGACTTTGTGTCTCAAGTTGAGAGAAGATCCCGCTCTCCAGAGAAGAGGTGGTCTGTTCGGCAATTGGACCGCGATCTTCTTCAGGCGGCTTTGGAGGTGTCCACATGGCCGGACGTTGGACCCCCTGGTGAATGGAATCTGGAGGATAGGGTCACCTTCCTTCAGAATATTATGGCAAGAGCCTGTGACGTGGCAATGCCGAGATCCAAACCAGGAGTGAGAAGAGCGATGCCCTGGTGGACGGCTGAGATTGCTCGACTTCGTGCTGTCGTCACGGTCGCTAGGCGCCATCTGAAGAGATCCCGAAGACGCAGGGGATCCCAGGAGGATCCTGATGGGGTGAGGACTCTGCGGATGGATTACAAGGAGGCTAGGGATGCGCTTAGCAAGGCCATTAGAAAGGCTAAGGCCAAGTCATGGGAGGACTTCGTGGATACTCTCAACGACAATCCGTGGGGCCGTCCATATTTGACGGTCTTGAACAAGCTCAGGAGATGGGCTCCCCCTTTAACGGAGTCCCTGGAGAGAGACGTCTTGGACAGGATTCTGGAGGGCCTGTTTCCTGCTCCGCCTGCCGAGGAGTCGGAGTGGTGCGAGCCTCCTCCCTCTGTGGTTGAATGGAACGAGGATTTAGCGGTGACGGATTGGGAGATCGTGTCTGCCGCCCGTCGAATGAGAATGAGGGATGCCGCCCCGGGTCCCAGTGGCGTTTCTTCCAGGGTCTGGACTGCCGCGAGTGGAGTCGTGGGCGAGTGTGTTCGACTGCTTTTCACGGAGTGCCTGAGGCGCGGTGTGTTTCCATCCGCGTGGAAGAATGCCAAGTTGGTGCTCTTGCGGAAACATGGGAAGTCAGATGGCGATCCATCCGGATATCGCCCTATCTGCCTTCTGGATGATGATGCAAAGCTACTGGAAAGGGTCATCGCGGCTAGGGTCAATTCCCATCTCTGTGGGAGGGGACCCAACCTGGACCGTCATCAGTTTGGTTTTAGAAGAGGTAGGAGCACGATCGATGCCATTCAAGCGGTGCGACAGTTTATGCAGGATTCGTTCGAGCGGGGCGATGTCGTTGTGGCTGTATCGTTGGACATCCATAACGCGTTCAACTCTTTGCCTTGGGGCACTATCGGCAGAGCATTGAGTGCTCACCGGGTGCCTTCGTATCTGCGCAGAGTCATCAGGAGTTATCTTGGCGATCGTAGGATTTCGTTCTCTACGGAGAGTGCGGCGTGCGGAGAGAAAGCTATCCGTAGGGGGGTTCCCCAGGGTTCCATACTTGGCCCTCTGCTGTGGAACATCGGCTTCGACAGCACCATGAAGGTGGAGGATATTCCTGACGATACGACAGTGGTGTGTTACGCGGATGACACTATTGTGCTGGGTTCCGGTATGAACTGGGGCGATGCCGTCTTGGTAACGCAGGAGGCCGTGAATTGTGTGGTGCAACACATCGAGGAGCTGGGCTTAAAGGTGTCCCCATTGAAGACGGAGACGGTTGGCTTCTGTCGCTCTGGAAGGGCTGCTAGTTTCGACGTAAGGGTAGCCGGAGTAGTCATCAAGTCTTCTCCCAACATGAAGTACTTGGGTTTGACCTTGGACAGCAGGTGGAATTTTCTGAGTCATTTCCAGAGAATGGCTCCTCGGGCGGAGAAGATGGCCTTGGCCCTCGCGAGGTTGCTCCCGAACCTCGGTGGCCCTAACGTCAGGGTCAGGAGATTGTACTGTCATGTACTAAATTCGGTGATCCTTTATGGTTCGCCTATTTGGGCGTACGAGATCAGTAACAACAGGAGGATCTTATCCATTATAAGGTGTTCGCAGCGGAGGATGTCGGGTAGAATTATCAGGTCTTATCGCACGACTTCGTTCGCGGTCAATACGGCGCTCGCAGGTATGCCGCCTCTGGAGTTACTGGCGAGAATGCAGGCCGATGTTTACGAGCGTGTTTCTCGGTTGCGTTCCGGCCTTTCGGAGGAAACTCCGGTCGATCCCGATGAGGTGAGGGAGGCCAAATTGAACGCGAGGAGTGTCATGATCGACGAATGGAGGAACTGGATGCGTCGTTCCGGCCACGGTGGTGGAACTCTGCTGGAGGCGATCGAGCCCCGGTTGGAGGATTGGTTGAACGCCGGTGTCGGCTTATCGTTTAGATCGACGCAGATACTTTCGAACCATGGGTGTTTCGGAGGCTATCTTCACCGTATTGGGAGGGAGAGGAGCGCCAGGTGTTGGCACTGTCCTTCGCCCAGTGACTCCTCCACTCATACGCTGCGTTTTTGCCCTGCGTGGGATGGGGAAAGGAGGGACTTGATGGCGGTTATCGGACCGGATTTGACCCTGCCGGGTATCGTCGGGGCCATCATTTCGAGCAAGGAGGGTAGAGAGGCATTCGTCCTCTTTTGCGAGAGGGTGATGCGTAGTAAAGAGGAGGCGGAAAGGGCCCGCGAGGGCATCGGGTAGGCCTTTTAGATGGTCTAGCGGGCTTCTGGGCGATACATCCAGGAGTCTCGATAGGGAGAGTCTTGCTCTCGAGTGTTGCGTTTTGCGATATATAGCGGTAAGTTTCGCGTGAGCTGCGTCAGTTCTGCGACGAGCTAACCGATTAGCGGGGGGCTCGCATAAATATGCGTGCGTCCGGGTAGGCTCGCCTGAGTCCCGCACACGAAGACGAACCGATTAGCGGGGCGTCTGCGGACTCTAGCGATTAATGTCCACCCTTTTAGAAGTGGTGGACCGTTTAGTATTAAGTTAGGTTTTAGCATTAATATCCCTCTGGAGGGATCGTTAGTAGTAACAGAATTTGTATGCGCTGAATGAATTCTGTGTGAACGTTGGATGTCTTGGGCACCGGTTCCTGAGACGGGGGTCTCAGGTTCCTCTCTGTAAGGTGTCTCGTTAGTGCGTGGGGAGGTGGGATCTCTTCACGCTCTTATCGGTGTTTCGCGAGATGCGATGCGTTTTGGCCGAGCCGGAGGTATTACTGCAGTAGAGTTCCCGGCTCGGTCTTGGTTCGCGATGTCAGGATCCCCGTGTGGTTTTAGTGGGTAGGCCCCGACCAGTTAGGTTGGGGAGAGTCCCACATAACCCGCTTCTCTCCCCCGAGGGAGGCGGGTATGCGTAAAGCATTTCCACACGTTAAAAAAAAAAAAAAAAAAAAAAAGGGCCCC